ACACTCCATAGATAACGGGCAATAAAGTGAGAACTTTGATTTTAAAATTCTAGTGGTAGAATTCATCCTTTGAGAGTGCTCCAGTGATTCCTGTGGGAAGATAACTAAGTTATAGGGAGCTAAAGGTACCCTTCTTCTTTCCCTCCAATGGCACAAAGACCACCCCCCAGAGGGTTATTGTTGTTTTTTAACAAATATACAAAAGGTAATTATTGCTTTTACACAAATTCCATTTTCCTAAACACTCCTCCCAGTCTCATTATCTTTTGCCTCCTACCACTTGACTAGCTAAAATATAGTATAATGGGGGTCCTCTCTCTATTGCCCTTGACTACCTTATTTATGTATTTATGATTCTTTGCTGTCCTTCCCCCTGATTCTCACTGTGTGGGGAACAAAACACCACACAAATCACCCAGCCCAGGATAAGAGGAGACAAGTTAAAACCTCCCAGGGAGATTCCGTAGACACTTGGTCTCCCTAAGTCCACAGAGGGCTTGGTATTTCAAAGGTCAGACTTGGGTCTCTCCATTTTGAGGACTAATGTTAAACTGTTTGACTTTTTACAAGAATATTTAGCTGTGTTTATTTACATAATTTCATGGAGGACACACAGTAGGCATGCAGTCGCTCAACAGGATACCTAGATGGATGAGTAGACAAGAAGATCCCAGGATCTCCTTTCTCCAACACACTGAAGGTAAAGAGCTGAAAAAGGTAAAATCACAACCCAATTTGAAGAAGCTTCTGTCCACTTCTTTTCGACTTGAAGCTATGAAGCTATGCATCTGTTTAAAAAGAAAGGGATGACACAACCACACAATGGGGAAATTCCAGGATCACTAAGAGAACACCATTATACTAAGTCCACACACTTTCTTTTAATACTGGTTACTACTCACAAGAGAGACTGTTAACTGCTGTCTTCCCACCAACTTGCAGGACCAGTCCAAGAAAAGCAAGGAATTTAAAGATACCATAACATGGACTCACATCTAACCCTTGGGAAAGGGAATCTAAGGACTGTGTCAGCCCAGAGATATGAAGTCAGACAAACAGGTAACAGTTTTTGGAAGACATTTTTAAAATGACGCTGCTTGACACTGATCATCAGCACTGAAATTCCTTAGACCATCAGAACCCACTTTTATTATGAAACTTTAACAAAAAGAAACTGGGTGTGATTGGTAAACATATTCTTGAGTTTCTTCATTTTCTTTAAAGCCGTACTTACGCTAGGCTCCACCCTTAAAGTCCCGTCCTACTAATTATCACCTGCAACCTGTTATCTTTCTCACTCATTTTCAGTTTCTCAAAAATTCTCCATGGCAGAGAAAAATATGTGGGGGCTGGCGGGGAGTGCCTCGAGTTGGTAGGTTCCACGTCCCTAAAAGGCACCCAACTCCTTCAGGACAGGCTTCGGAACTGCCCAGCAGCGGGGGAAGCCTGCGTAGGTCTCTTTTTCTGACTGGTCTTTCTGGCTGGTAAGGTCACCGGCTCTGGCAACAAAACTTACTCGGTCAGATCGACGGGTGGCCTTGGCCTTCCCCAGCCCCCCTGCCTGGAACCTTCCTAAGTCCGAGGATCCCCGGCCCGGCCTCACTAGAAGCGCTGCCCCCGACAGTGCGGGCGCTGCACCCAGCTCACCTGACCACGTTGGGGTGCTCGAAGGTCTCCAGGTGCCTCAGCACCGCCACCTCGCGGATGGTGGAGAGCGGCATGCCCTCCTCGCCCGTCTGCACCCGCACGCGCTTCAGTGCCACGAACCGGCCTCCGTTCTTCAGGTCGCGGGCTTTGAACACCTTCCCATAGGCGCCCTCCCCGATCTCCGCCACGCACTCGTACTGCTGGTCCGCGCGGCTCAGGCCGTCCTTCTCCATGTCGCCTGGACGCCTCTCGGAACGGCGCCGCTGGGGCGGGCGGGTGTGCGCTTGGTTCGCTAGTCTCCTCCGGTGCTCCCGGAGCTCGGTCTTGCTCGCCCTCGCCCCCGCTGGCTCCGGCGCTCCGACTCAGGGGCTCTCGCAGCCGCTGGACTGGATGGAGCGACCTCTCTGCCGGCTGGCGTAACCCTGGTGCCGCCGCGAAACTCCGCCTGCCGAGTCGCCGCCGGAGGAGCGAGTGGATCCCTCCTCTTCCCTCCCCGAAGCGAAGTCCTCTACACAGACACCGCACCGATTACATAGTCTCTGTCCGAACGCGTCTCGGTCCACAATCTTTGCACCTAAAAGAGAAGACGGGAAGACAAGAAAGTGCAATCAGACATCCCAAGAGCCTTCCACGGGGTTCCTCTAGATTCCCCTCCTCCTCCTTCATGAAGCCCGAGTCGCTACCCTCCGCGAGCTCCGGCCTTCTCCAAGCCTCCTAATCCTTCCTGGTTTCACCGAGAAAAGCGAAGTTACTTTTCTTTCCCTGCAGGGCTGGAGCCGTCTTCGCGCGGAGAGGTTGCAGGGGCCCCTCGGGGATGAGCGCGCCGCGCGAGACGCAGTGGAACGGGAGGGGGCGTGCCGAGCAGCCCAGAGTGTGCTGGGAGCGCGGGGGGGAGGGAGGCGCCGGGGACGTCAATGTCACGGCTTAATATTTATACCTTTATGATTGTATGCGCGGCTACCCTCCTCGCCTCCTGGGACCTGGACGTACAGGGGGTGGGGGTCCTGGTGCCTTCAGGGACCGTGCACAATGTGGTGTGAACGGACTGAGGGTCCACCCGTTTGGGGCCTCAGAATGTGGGTGGGGGCTCTCGGGACCCTGTAATCCGATGCTGGGAGTGTGCGAGAAGGGGTGGTCAGACATCTGCTTGGAAATTGCTTCCTTTCTTTCTACTTTCAGTTTTTCCTCGAGGAGACATTTAAAAACGATTCGCACACGCAAACGGTCTTTGGGGGGGTAAAGGAGTCTTGGTGGGAAATGGAATTCTCCTCTGATTCGGAGGACCTCCCTGGTGGAAACCCAGGGAAGACAACCATCCGGTTGGGGAGGGCTGGGGCTACTTGGGGTGGGAGGACGAGAGGCCCTGGAAGGGGGGGGTGTCCCCCACGGGAGCCCAAGAGTGGGAGAAAGGGATGTTCGCCACACTTTCGCTTGTCGTGTCCTTAAGAGAGTAACTTAAGGAAGAAGACACCATAACCGTGTCTTGACTTGAAGTTTTCTGATTTCAACCAGAGCAAAACGCCACCTCCCTAAAAAGGGTGGGGGTGGAGGTAGTAAAGGCTATGGCTCCTAGGGTGAGGGAGAGGGGGCTGTGCCGAGGGTACCCGGACTCAGGAACCTTTCCCCACTGCCAGGGTCGTCCTGATATAAGTAGCGCGGGTGGCTGCTCCACTGCCCTTTGGGCCAGGTCCTATCTTCAGCTGGGCGCCCCCAATCCCCAGAACCCTCTGCACAAGAAAGTGCCTGAAAGGGGTACCCTAACTTTCCCTCCCCTACAGGACGTAGGGAAACTCCCTCCCCCGCGGGCGCCTCAGCCACCGCCGGACATTCGCCACGCTAGCAACGTGTCCAGAATTCCCAGGACACCTCGGAGTTACCTGCCCCGCAACCGCGGGCCGCTCGCTTTCTGCCAGGAATTAAAGAAACAACAAATAGCGCGACCCCCACGGTGTGCGGGCGGAGCGGACCGCAGCGAGGGCAGGGCCTCTCAACACTTACTCTTTTCAAAACTTTCCTTAAAAGCCGAGGAAAGAGCCCCCAGAGTCTGCCCCGGGGTATGAGCCAGGTCGAGGGCCACACAGGTAGCGGGGGAGCAGCCGGCGGCCGCCCAGTCCTCCCCTCCCACGTCCCCCTCCCCCTCCCGCTCGAGTCCAGCCCTGGGCCCCGCCGCAAAGGAAGCGTCGGGGACGTCCCACCCCCGCAGGGAACTGCGCCCGCTGCCCCCGCCCGGCCCCGCACCACCCGCTCTTGCTCTCCCCCCTCGCTCGCGGACGGTCGGCTTCAGCAGAGGGAAACGGGAGCAGCAATGCCTTTTCCCCCCCTCTCCTCCACTTTTTTTTGTTGTTGTTGTTGCTTTCCCACGCTGGCTGAATGTGACTTGACCCCATTTCAAAAAAGTTTGACATAGTGCTTCAACATTTCCGCATTCCTCCGCGACTACAAAGGCTGCAGCCGCCTCCTTCTGCTTTCTGTCTCTGCTCTCTGTCTTCACACTCAATGAAATCCTTCATGTGCCTCTCCCGAAGCCTGCCAAGCACCGCAAGGGTCGCCACCAGCGCAGCGAGAAGAGGCCGCACCGGGGACCGCGACTCCCGCGTGTGCGCACATGCAGATGCGCCCACGTGCACACCGACCAGCGCGCTGCGGGGCCCAGAGCTGCTCGCTGCGGGCGTGCGTTTTAACTTCGATATTTTAATAAAAATAATCTTGGAAACTAAAGCAAACGTGCGTCCTCGCGGGGCTGAAAGCCTGGGCACTGGTCGGCTGCGTGCACTCCTCTGTGCATAACACACCCGCGGGGTTGCCAGAAGGAAGCCCGCATTAACATTTATTTCATGGTGGGGAAAATGGAGCCCACACCCACACCTCAACAAGCTGCAGAGAGAGCTTTCCTGGGGAAATAAATTGGGGGGCACGGAAACACGTTCTCCAGCATGGAGTCCCCAGAGGCAGTGCATTTTACACGGTGAATGTAGATTATTATGTGAATGTCCGAGTAGAGTTCAAGTTCCGTTTGGAGAAGTTGGATGAGAAGTGTATGTGTGGGTGTTTGTGCGCACAGATATGTGGGAGCTGGCACAGGATCTTGGTATCGGGGTGTCCTAGTGCGGGATGTCCCCCTCCCGCCAGATTAGATAAAACTCCTTTTAGCTCCCCAAACCCGGCCCCCGTAACTTACCCCATCTCAGTTCGTAAGGGGTTAACCAAAGTCGATTTCGAGGACACACAGTTTCCCCCCACCCCCCACTCGCCCCCACCCACATTCTTGTCTCCGACCCTAGCAATCCCCCAGATGTCCCCTGGGACCCCCCACCCCGAGCCCACCCACCAGAGACCAAAGCTCCTCACCTGAGGGGCCCAGGCGCGTCGGGCCTCCCGAGGGGGCTACGAGTGTCACTCAGACCTCCGCACGTGTCCACCGCGCGCGGAGCAGGTAACCAGACTGGGGAAGGAGTTACCAGCACTCTCTCCGGCGAGGGCGAGGGGGTGGGCACAACGGCGGAGGGCGGAGGGACCGCGGAGGGCGCCGCCCGCGCAGCTCGCTGGGGGCGGACGGGGGCCTCGGGGCTGCGGCCGGGGCTGGGGGCCCGAGCTGGGGAGGCGATGGGGGCGGCCGCGCGGCAGGGGCGGAGGCGGGGACCCGCGGCGCGTACTCTGCCCGAGACCCACCGGGCGGCAGGGCCAGGGGCTCGCGGCGCGGTGGCAAGCAAGTGTGCAAATTAAAGCCTTCCGGAGAGGGGGGAGGCGGCCGAGCCCCGGCCGTGCTCGGAGCCTCCCAGCTCCCCAGCAGTCCGCTCCGAATAGGGGGCGAGAAGGGAGGCGGGGAGGGGGGGGTAAATGAAAATTTCCGGTTTTCACTGCAACTGGAGTGGGGGATCCCGCGACTAAAATAAGCGGCGTGAGTGGGTAAGGGTGGGAGGTGTCGTCGGGAGTCGGCAGAGTTTCCACACCCAGGGTCGCCCAGAGTTGGAGTTTTGACAGGGTGAGGCGGGGATATCGGCGGTCTGCGATGTGGACGGATGGAAAAAACACAAAACAACCAACAATAATTATGAGGAGCCGGTGGGGGTGGTAAATACCAACACTTTCCAAGAAACCGAAAAATCAGACCAAAAAACAACTCTTTTCTATTAAAAAAAAAAAAAAAAAAAAGTCTGGCAGGATGCCTTGTAGAAAAGAAAATACTAATCTGTCCAAGCACTTTTCACTTTCAGCATGAACTACATTTGTTTTGTTTTCCTTCGCTTCCTTTCGGCCTCACAAAGCCCTATCTTTTCCTTTTGGACAGAGGCTATGGTTTGGAAATCATCAGGACTCTTGTGGTTAACGATCTACTTGAAGGGGCTGGCGGGGTCACAATTATTAAGTGGTTAGCAACTGATGAGGGTTCACTAAGGTATTTTTGAGGAGCTAAAAAGACTAAAATTTAGTGTAAATAACAGAACTGCAAGATAATAGACACGTGTACACACACAAAGAGGAGTGCTTAGTTTAAGTGCATTATTGAAATTTTGAAATGTGAAACCTTGTAAAAATGTATATTGTACCTGCTGAGAAGACCTGAATGCAATTATTTCAGGTGAAAATGAGATTTTGAAGGGGGGAAAAGTCTTCAAAACATTCTACAATAAAGTAAAATAGCTATCTTTGGGGAAATAATTCAGTGTTCTCCAAAATCTGTATCTGTAGAATATTTGAAACCCTTTTTAAACATCTTAAAGCAAAACTAAAAAAAAAAAAAAAACAAGAAGAAAATAGAAATATTTTGGTGCTTTATAGAAAAACAAAAACCCAACAAAATTTTGTTTGAATTGGAAACATTCTGTATAAATCTTTTGCTTTTTTTGAATTATAAACCACATCACCAATTTCATTGTAGATCAAATTTTTGCCTTTATAAAATTAATTCTGTATTGCAGTGTGAAGAAAGGTTACAGAAATAAGAATTGATGCATTTCCACTAACAAACATTTTGCAATGCATTATAATAATTTTTCTTAAATAATAAAGGTGAATAATTATATCTTTAAGCTTAAGAGTTATAAAGTTTATAAAATACATTTGTGTTTAAGAGCATATCTTCTAAAATAAAATCCAGTTTCTGAATAAATTTTGCATTTGTTGTCTATCATTTTATATTATACATTTAAGAAAGCAAATTAGAGTTTATCTTTACATAAAATATTGAATGACTACAAATCACTAATTGGACTTCAAACTAGAGATACAGATAGGAATCTTCCATTTTGATAATTGTGCCCACTTATTAAGGCTTTTTAAAACAAGATTTGCTTGCTAGTAATTAATATGTTTATATATCAAGAAATAATGACCAATAAATAGTTACAGGAACCAACACATGATGGCAAGAATTTATTTGAGTAAATAACTTGTTTTAAAAACATTAAGCTGTAAAAATCTTTAAAATTAACAGAAGAGTGTCTTTTCTACACTGGGTAGTATTTTTAATTACTGGATTTGACAACAATCATTACTAGATTAAAATTTCGATGAGTTAGGTTTTACATCTCTTGGGCAATGTAAAAAAATGTCATTTTATTTAATTATGTATGTAATAGCAGGTGTTAACTCTCTGTCCTCTTCTTTTCCTGGCATAGTTTATGTTTTATGCTAATTTATCATTGTTCTCTCTCCCTGGTTATGGTTCACTTTAAATCCCAGCTGGTAAAAAATTCAGACTCAAGGAAGTTTTACAATGGATTGTACAAAATTAGTAAATATCAGATGGTTTTTGTTTATGGATAACTTCCTCTGTGGATACAGGTTATCATAACAAAATTTCTACAAAGTTTATGAACTGTGAACTAAATTCCGACTCCTTTGTTTAGGAATCTTCTATGAACAAAAACACAGTATTCGAGAGTAATGACGGGACCCAGTATTTTCATACCACATATCAGATATTCTGTCGTTACAATTCAAAATAATCTTACAGGTATTTTAAAGTTAGAGTTCATGGATTTATCTCTATTGTGTTGTGACTTACAACAAAAGTTTCCCTAGTGTCATATAACATGTATTTCATGTGGGAACATTTTTACATCAAATACCTGTAAATGTTTTCCATTACATGGAAATTAAATGTAAAGTTCTGGTTTATAATTTTAACCTTCTTAAAGAAATGAGTAATTTTAGAAATTAGGAATCATATAATGGATATCTAATTCTACATCATCTCTGATTTATTTGGCTATTTGAATTTCTAACATGCCTTTTCAAAAGCTCAGAAATGAAATTTTGCTATAATTTATAATTATTTTAATTGGAGGTTCATATGATTTTTGTTTATAAATTTCTCCTGTTTGCTATTTTGATAAAAGTATTTATGTTTTAATAACTTTGAAAACAAGTTACCCTGTGTTTTAAACTGATTTGTATATATATGAAAAATGTTGAATAATTACCACAAAAAAACGCACTTTTGGTAGAAACAGTATAATATTGTACAGTGCATTTTAGTGCATTCTTCTGACCCTCCCCAGGCATTTCCAAGATATTTTATTGGGTTTTCTCCTAAAATATAATATTGAAAATTTTCTAAATACCCTAGGAAAAATCAATTATATTATCAACTTTTTCAAATTTAAATTTCTGAACTTCAAATAATTTTTAAAGCTCAGTCTTCTAAATAAATTGCTGCCAGTTGATTTGGAAATGATTTGGGTTTTTCTCTTTTTATTGTTGCATGTGGTCTAATGCATTGCATTTGAGCACTGAGAGTTGAAAAGATGTTGATGTTTGCTGTGATGGAAAGAAATATATAGTAATATAAGGAGAAAAAAAAAAAAACAGACATTATTATCTTTTGGAACATTCTGTTTCCATGGGTTCTTCTACTCTATAATTAACTCTGTGCAACATGTCTATACTATGTTCATATTTGTATAATTGTCATAATCTTTTCTATTTTTTCCTTTCAATAAATACCCGTATTTTCTTTTTCCTTTGTGTACGTGTATGTGTTTGTGCGCAAATACCTGTATGTTCTTGGCATTTTGTTATGACATGTTCAAAACATGTCCTAAAGATCCTTTCGTCATCTATATTAGAATTCTGAGTAATCAGAAAAATAACTCTGGAAATAGGTGGTGATGATCATATTGAAATACCTACATTTCCTTCCAATTTACAAAGACCTATCATTTTCACTGGCATCTAACATTTCTTTTCTGAGACGATACTGCACACATGGCCTAATAATTGTGTTGCTATAGTTGCTTTTGGTTGAGCTAAAAGGTGTGTAGACTTCTTAGACCATTCAGATGGAGCAGGGAAGGTACAACAAACTAGGGGAGAATAATGATAAAGTGGGATTTGGGAGGTAGGAGGAGACAAAGAAGCCACCTGGGGAGAAACTTCTGTGAATGGCCTGGCAGCAGGGGCAAGTGAAGGAGGTGCATGCTGAGGTCCTGGGGCTAAGAGATGCAGCCCCAGTGCCCTAGGTATGGTGTATCCAGGCAACCTGATTCTTTCAGAGTGAATGGCATTCTGTGTCTCTTCTATTATGCAATTAAATCTGACTTATTGAATGAGATTGTATAGGGTGTGTGTGTCCATATTCATGTCATTCTATTTTATGTTGTCTTATTCTGGATTTTTCCTGAAAATAATATAGAATGGAATTCTTTGCAGAATTCTTTAAATTCCTAGAAGAAAGTATACAGTAGCATATGTTTGTGGAGCAAACATTTTACCACCGATTACAGAGACATCTAATTTTTAAACTCTATTATAAATTCATACAAAGTTACTCTTCTCTTTGTATTGCCAGTACCTAGCATAGTAACTGGCATGTAATTTATGTCCAACAAATGTTTGTGTATGGAAAAATTGGCTTTGTGTCTTTCAGTCCCTTGTCTTTGGGACAACTTCTTTCTCTTTCTTTCAGGGGGATATATTAGAATTTTTAAAATGTATGCCAGCAGAGAATTTTGATAAAGTTTAAAGATCAGTGTGCTGATGTCAGGACCTCAGAAGCACATCTTCTCTATCTGCAGTTCTCCTTTTTAATCCTCTTCTCAATCCTATCATCTTTTTAATGCCCAGATCCTATAAAACATTTGGAATTCCCCCAGCATGAAGATACCCCTCTTTGCTCCAATATCTTGAGACCATTCACTTTCCACCTCATTGAAAGCTTGATGCCCTGCTATTCACCACCCCGAGCTCCCCCCTAGAGCACCTACCAGGACTTGTTCCCTTTAACAGTCCTCCAACTTCTGGCTTTGTCCCCTGCCTGTAATAGGTGGCCGGTGAATGCAGTAATGGTTCTTGTCATCTTCCAGGAGTGTTACTGAATCAAGCAGACATAGAATAGACTGGAGCCATTGTGACATAACCAGAATAACATTTGAAACATGAGAAATCAGTGTTGCAAGTCGCTTAAACAGGAGAGAACCAGGTCATCCTGCT